GAACTCCGCAGGTCTGTCAGATTCAGCAGTGAGAGCCCTGGGCCAAGGGCAGAGAGGAAACATGTTCCATGCTGGTGTAGACAGGCTAGCCCTATTCTTCCCTTAGCAAGAGGCAGTGCTCTGTGCCCTAGCCAGCCTTGCTGGTGCGAGTGACCGCCACAGGAAGAGCTGGCCGTCTGCGTGTCTGGGCTGGGCCGTGGGGGCTAAGGACTGGCCCAGCCTCGCCTGTCTCACCTGCACTCTCCCCACTGCCTGGGGATCTACACCGCCTTCTCCATAATGATCTCTGCATCAACATCATCTTCTCTAAAGGAGCCACTGCCCCCAGCCCACCTGCATCACTCTCTCCCTTTTTTTTTTTTTTTTTTTTTTTTTTGAGAGAGGGTCTCGCTCTGTTGCCTGGGCTGGTGTGCCAGGGCATCATCATAGCTCACTGCAGCCTCAAGCTCCTGGGCTCAAGTGATCCTCCTGCCTCAGCCTCCCAAGTAGCTGGGACTACAGGGGCACCCCACTGTGCCCAGCTAATTATTCCACTTTTTATAGAGATGGGGTCTCACTCTTGCTCAGGCTGGTCTCGAACTCCTGACCTCAAGCAGTCTTCCTGCCTCGGCCTCCCAGAGTGCTAGGATTACAGGCATGAGCCACCACGCCCGGCCCCACCTTCATCACTGTCTGTCCTCTTACACTGCTTTATTTTTCTTCAGCACTTACCACCACCTGACATTATTAATTTAGTCCATTGTCTGCCCTTCCCATTAGAACGTGAACTCCATGAGGGCAGGGACGTCATCTGGCTCACCATTGCATACCCGGGGCCTAGCTCAGTGTTTGACACATAGTAGGTGCTCAATAAATTTTTTTCTGGGTGATCTGAGTGCAGGGGTGTTTACAACTAACTGATCACAACCAGTTACAGATTACTTTGTTCCTCCACTCTCACTGCTTTACTTGACCAGCCTTAAATATATATATATATTTTTTTTTTAATTAAACTTTTTTAAACTAATTTTTTTCTTTTTTCCCAGACTGGAGAGCAGTGGCACAATTATAGCTCACTGCAACCTCAAAACCCTAAGCTCAAGTGATCCTCCCCTAGAAGGAAACGTCATTCAGAGGAGAAGTAGTGCTGAAAAATTTAATCTTTCCGAGTAGTGTTCCTGAAGGTTTCTCCCCGCTATGTTCATCATTGGAAATCAATGTAATTATTCCTTGTTAACAAATTGGGTTTTTGAATTATATAACTGTTAGATCAAAAAAATGATGAGGGGAGAGAACTGAGGTGAGCTACGGGATGGCACAGGCAGCCCAGTGGAGACACAAACTGGTCTCAGAACAGTCCCTGGCGTTCTCCACCATCATATCCAAGGGATTTATTCAGCTCCTCAGAAAGATCTCAGAGCTTTGTATTGCCAGAACATTCCCATTCTCCCTGCAATTTGGGGGAAGGACAGACACCACACCTGTATTTACAAAGGAAGAAGCAAAAGAACACCAAAAGGCAAAAGTGATTCTCCTCATCTGAGTTCCACCCCAAGATAGTAGTGAGACAGTATTAGGGTCACGGAACAAAAGAGAATGGCATTTCCTGAGTGCGAGTGGCTCCCAGGGCCAGGTAACAAAGGCCTCATCCATCCAGCTAGAAAAGAGCACCCGATGTCCCCAACCTCGCCCCATCCAAACCCTCAACTCCAAAGTATCCATTCTATGCCACAGGCACATTTACTCTTCCCTGGGGTTCGGGGTGTGGACCTGAGTTCACCCGAGGTCCTGAGACAAGCCTGTCCCTGTTGTTGGGATGGTTCAAGGCAACTTTGCAAAGTGCCCTGGAGCTGTCTTACTCTCACTAACTGATAACGCAGCATTACTCATTCAAAGAGTGAATTAATAAAGGACTCTTGAAGATGTGGCAGAATTTTCAAACCTAAGAAATCAATTGCTAAGAATAAAGTAAGTTGGAGGAGATACGTTTCAGCACCGGAGCCTGCCTAGCATCACACTGTGTGTGTCACCGCTGACCTGTTGATGCATACAGGTGGTCCTGTTGGAACACACCTACAGCACCTGCTCAGCAAGTCAGTGGATCCTCTTTGACCTTCATCCCAGGCAAACGTGGTGGAATGGATGTCAAGACCTGGGAGGGAGCTGGAAAATTCCACAAAAGCCAAGTATAGATGAGGCCTGGGTCTGGGTGGGACAAATCTTGATAAATGGCCATTTCTGTCAGTATTCTCCTTTTGCCACAGTGGAAATTGAACAGGACTTGGGAGACAGAACACAAGGGTTTGATTTCTGGCTCTGCTACACAATAACTGAATTTTGAGGGAGTCCCCTAAGACTTAATGTAGTGATTCCTGGGCTGCCATCACAAAGTATTACCACAAACTTGCATATAGAAATTTATTGTCTCACAGTTCTAGAAGCTGGAAGTCCAAGGTCAAGGTGTTGGCAGGGTTGGTTCTTTCTGAGGGCGGTGAGCAAGGATCTGTGTCACGCCTCTCTCAGCGCTGCCGGTGGTTTGCTGGTAATCTTAGGTGTTTCTTGGCTTGTAGATGCATCACCCCAATCTCAGCCTTCATGCTCACATGATGTTCTCCCTGTGTGCACTTCTCTCTGTTGTGCATTTCTCTCTGTGTCTGAATTTCTCCTTTTTTTTTTGAGACAGTCTCGCTTTGTTGCACAGGCTAGAGTGAGTGCCGTGGCATCAGCCTAGCTCACAGCAACCTCAGACTCCTGAGCTCAAGCAATCCTCCTGCCTCAGCCTCCCGAGTAGCTGGGACTACAGGCATGCGCCGCCATGCCCGGCTAATCTTTTTCTATATATATTAGTTGGCCAATTAATTTCTTTCTATTTATAGTAGAGACGGGGTCTCACTCTTGCTCAGGCTGGTTTCGAACTCCTGACCTCGAGCAATCCGCCCACCTGGGCCTCCCAGAGTGCTAGGATTACAGGTGTGAGCCACCGCGTCTGGCCTGAATTTCTTTTAATAAGGACAGTCATATTGGATTAGGGTTCATTCTAATGACCTCATCTTAACTTGATTATATCTGTAAACATCCTATCTCCAAATAAGGTCATATTCTCAGGTACTGGGGATTAAGACTTTAACATAAGAATGGAGGGGCACAATTTAACCCATAGCACTTACCTTCCTTACCTGTAAATGGGGCTCAAGACACAAAACTTCCTCATACAATTGCAGCAGGCATGGAAGTCTCCAAGAGGCTTGGTCCACAGAAGCTCGAGGAATGTCTGGCTTGTCTGATGTGCACGTGCCTTGGAGCTGTCTGGGTCAGACTGCACCTCTAGGGAGCAGGGCTCGGGTGGGGCAGGCAGTCCTGTGACAGTCCAACACATAAATAGGTGCTTGGCCAATGTATTTTTATGATGGTAAAGCCGAAAGGCTAGAGAGAAAAATCTGATGGCAGAGGAGCCAAAGCTATCAAAAGTCTGACACCAAGTGCTGGTGAGGATGTGGAACCTGAGGAGCCCCCACACATGGCTGTCTGTAGCGTCCGTTGGTATGAATGCTTTGGAGGGCAATTTGGCAATGTACCAAAAAGGCAAAGACATATATATATCTGATGTCCCAGCAATTCTCTCTTAGGTATACAGAAAAGCTCACACGGGTACCCCAGGATATGTTTGCAAAAATATTTATAGAAGCATTGTTTATAAGAGCAAAAAAAAAAAAATAACCTAAATTTCCTAACTGTAATGCATTTATATATTCGAATATCATATTATACAGCAGTTAAAGTGGATTAACTAGAGCTATGTATATCTCACAGATGAATCTCACTAATAAATACTGTGCAAAAAAGACCAAATTGCAGAAGAATATATACAGTGTGGGGGGCAAAATCATGATATATTGCTTAGGATACATATACATGTATACGTTTAAAGAGTATAAAGAATATGGTCATGATAAACACCAAATCCAGGAGGGAAAAGGGGAGGAACACAGGAAGCTTCCATCATATTGGTATTAGTTTATTTTCTAAACTAGGTGGTAAATAAAAAGTATTGGTGGCTGGGCATGGTGGCTCATGCCTGTAATCCCAGCACTTTGAGAGACTGAGGTGGGTGGATCACTTGAGGCCAGGAGTTCAATACCAGCCTGAGCAACATAGGAAGACCCTATCTGTAAAAAGAAAAGAAAAGAAACGAAACGAAAAGAGAAGAGAAAAGTTAGCTGGGCGTGGTGGCACGTGCCTATAGTCCCAGCTCCTCGGGAGGCCGAGACAGGAGGACCGCTTCAGCCCAGGGATTCAAGGGTACAGTGAGCTATGATCAGGCCACTGTACTCTAGCCTAGGTGACAGAGCAAGACGCTATCTCTAAAAAAAGAAAGAAATATTAAAATATTAATTATATTATTCTTTATAACTTCTGCATGTTTGAAATATAACTTTTCAAAAGAGGCAGGACTTGAGAACACTCACATAACGAGACCGAGAAGCTGGGGCCCCGCTTGGGAGATTCAGGGCTATCTTTGCCATCCCCTGGGACCCGGAAGCCAGGGTAAATTGGCTAAAGACTCTGACATCTGCTGCACTGGAAGGGGGAGACCCAGAAGGGCGAAGCCTCTTGTGTTCAGGGGAGGAGAGGAGGGACGGGCCCTTTCACGGCTCCCTGCTGTGCCGCGACCCCAGCTGTTGGCCTGCCTCCCCGCGCTGGGCTGCAGAGGACGCCGCGCGCACCCAGCCGGGCAGCCTGGGGAGGGCAGGGCGGCGAGCGCAGGCTGTGCCGCCCGCACCCCGCACAGCGCGCAGGCCGCCCGCACCCCGCACAGCGCGCAGGCCGCCCGCACCCCGCACAGCGCGCAGGCCGCCCGCACCCCGCACAGCGCGCAGGCCGCCCGCACCCCGCACAGCGCGCAGGCCGCCCCCCGCGCCGCTCGCCCGCGGCCCCGCTCGGCGCCCCACTCACCGCGCGCACGCACGCACACACCCACCCAGACACGCGCGCGCACACGCCCCTTCCACCGCCCGCTCTGACCGGCCCCCAGCACCCGCGCCGGCCGCGAGCCCGGCAGCCGCAGGCCCGCCCTCCGCTCGGCCGGCTTTTCCCGCGGGGGCCTCACTCCTCCACCGCAGCCCGGGAAGCTGGCGGCGCGGCTGCTCCCGCACCTTACCTGTTTCTTTCCTCTTTTCCTCCCGCCGAGACCCTCCCGTCAGAAGGGGAGCAGCCGCCTGACCCGGGCTGGCAGCAAGACGCAGGGGCACGCGGGGACAGCCCCCTCAGAAGCCCCCAGCCCACCCTTCCCCGCAGGGGCCATGAGCACGAGGCCGGAGGCCAGGAGAGATGAGGGAGACACCAGGAGGAGGGAACAGCAGGCAGAGCTCCGGGACCGAGCCCACCTGAGCCAGCAGCGCCGGCTCAAACAGGCCACCCAGTTCCTGCACAAGGACTCTGCCGACCTGCTGCCGCTGGACAGCCTCAAGAGACTCGGCACCTCCAAGGACCTGGTGAGGCTGCCCTCTCCCCTGCCCGCCCCGGGAAGTCCCTGCCCTTTTCCTCCCTTCCCAGATCCTGAGGTCAGGGTGGGAGGGCCAGAGTGTGGACCCTCAGCCTTGGGATCCCCTTCCCTTGCTGAGATGGGGGAGAGATGGTTCTGCCAACTTGAGGGGCTTAACCCTGGTCATTCTGAGGCTCCTCACTGGGGATGTCCCCACAGCTTGGTAGCTCTGAGGGACCCCATTCTCACTGCTCAGCCTCGCCCACCTTGTCCCCTGATAGCCCAAGGCGTGGGATGGTGAAGAGTTCTGCCGTGTAGGAGTAGGCCCCTACAGGGACACAGGGGCCCTTTGGAGCAGTCGATTAAGACCGGGAGGGCCTGGCCAGTTCAGGGTTGTGTCTTCCCCGCTCTCCCCGATTCTGTCATACCAGGGCTGTTCATTCATCTGCCCTTCCCCGCAAAGTCAAAGCATGGAGGGTCTCCATTTTTTTCAGAGCATCGAGGCTCCACGTGGCCCTCCCTGCACCCCCATCTCCTTGAGTGTGCCCCCCCTCCTTCCTAGGCGGAATGGCCCTGCCAGGCTCCCTTCGTTCCCTCCACTGGGCAGCAGCTTTGCCTGCAGAGGTGGGTGGGCCAGGGCTCACCTGCATATACAGGCCTTGGGCCCCTCTGAGAGGCAGTGGTTAAGAGCAGGGCCTTTGGAGCCACTTGGCTTGCGATGAGATCCTGGCTGCACCACTTGCTAACTTGGGCAAGTTATTTTATGTCTCTCTGGCTCAGTTTCTTCATCTGTTAAATGAGGATAAAATTACGAGTATCTATCGTGTAGGGTTGTTGGGAGAGTTTACATGAGCTAATACGTACAAAACACTTAGAACAATGCCTGGCTAACAGAAAGCACCATCTAAATGCCAATTGTTATCCCTCCAGCTAGTACTCCATTCAGCCTGAGAGTTGAATTAAGATCTGCAGGATTCAGAGAATATGAAATTACATCTGGACGGTGGCTCACACCTGTAATCCTAGCACTCTGGGAGGCTGAGGTGGGTGGATTGCTCGAGGTCAGGAGTTCAAAACCAGCCTGAGCAAGAGTGAGACCCGTCTCTACTATAAATAGAAAGAAATTAATTGGCCAACTAATATATATAGAATAATTAGCCGGGCATGGTGGCACATGCCTGTAGTCCCCGCTCCTTGGGAGGCTGAGGCAGAGGGATTGCTTGAGCCCAGGAGTTTGAGGTTGCTGTGAGCTAGGCTGACGCCACAGCACTCACTCTAGCCTGCGCAACAAAGAGAGACTCTGTCTCAAAAACAAAAAAAGAAATTTCATCTGGCCTTTGAGCCGGAGAAGAGAGGAAGGCCTTTGTAGAATAGCTTAGGAGCAGTCTGCTCCCTCGCTCCTCTTCTAGTCAGAGGCTCTAAGAGGAAGTACTCGGCAGGGCGCCCTGAGAGGTATGAGGCATGTCTGCTGGCCTGAGGCCACCCCAGCAGCTGCTTCTGCCCCAGGAACCTGTGGGCCAAGGCAGCCCCTCATTGCCACTCCTGACCTAGCCCTGCCTTTCAGACTCCTCCCAGCCTGGTTTCCCCTCTAGGAACCCAGCCAAGAGGCTGGGCAATCCCTGAGCCACATCCCAGCAGCCCCCAAAGGGGAAAAGTGAATGGTCTGAGGACTTCAATTCAGAGAACTGCCAGGGGGTTGTTCCTCCTTATAGACACAGCAAGCACACCCGAGAAACAGGGATGGAACAGGGAAGCAGGTTCTTTGGCTCCAGTGGCCTCTACATCTGTTGGGGACCATCCTAACTCTGTGTGGCCCAGGAGAAGATGTTCTATAAACACTGCCATCCCAGAGTGGCAGGCCCAGCCTTCTGATGAGAAAGACCTGGGCTTCCCACTTCTCCTTTCCACTTCGGGATCTCCTGAATGGATCTTGGCACTTAGTGTGGCTTTGGGAGCAAAGATACAACTGTTAGGGAGAACCTCATTGTCTCCTTCCCCAGGATAGCTCTGGAGCCAACTGCACGACAGTGGGAGAGCCCTGAAACCTGTGCCCCCTGTGGGAAAGGTGGAAGGAGATGGGAACTGCAGAGCCCTTCTTTCTGGCGAGTCCCAAGGCTCTGCTCTTTCCCAGCACGAGTCTCCTGCTGGCAGCCTTGCTGCTGAGCAACCCCAAGAGCCTCATTGAGCCAAGGGCTAAAAACAATCCCAGGCTCCCAGGGAGGGAGGGCAGGTGGAGCCTGGGGGACACAGTCATTCCACAGCAAGCATTTATTGAGTGCCGACTATATGTGGAGCCATGCCCTGGGACATAGAGATGAATGAGATACAGACCTCAGGGGCTCTCCGGGCTGATGGAGGAGGGAAATCCATAAATAATATTTGTGACAGGCCAGGCCAGTGGCTGTCCTAGTACTTGGGGGGCCAAGGTAGGAGAACCAGGAGTTTGTTTGCCACAGCAATATATCAAGACCCTGTTTCTACAAAATATTAGCCAGGCATGGTGGCACACGCCTGTAGTCCCAGCTACTTGGGAGGCTGAGGCAGGAGGATCACTTGAGCCCAGGAGTTTGATTGCACCACTGTACTCTAGCCTAGATGACAGAATAAGACTGTGTCTCTAATAACAAAAACAAAACAAAACAAAACAAAACAAAATTTATGAGAAGCATGGCCAGGGGAGATACGAGAAGGGCTCCCAGCCCGGTGCGGGGAGGAGGAACATGAAGAGGTCCGAGAGGGGAGGCTGGAAGAGGTAAATCCTGCATTAATTACAGGATGGACATGGAATACCAAACTTAAAATAAAAACCTCTCTCCCTAATGAAGCCTGTTAAGCAAGCCATCCAGCTGGCCTTGGGAAGAGTTGCAGAAGGAGGGGAGAACAGGGCAAAGGCACATAGGCAAAAATCAGCCCTGTAGGAGTGGTGTTGCTGGGGCCAACTTGGAGGGACAGGAGGCAGCGGCTGGGTCACCTGGGCTATGGACCACCTTCAAAAGTTTGGGCTCTGTCCTGTAAGCAATTGGAGGCATGGAGGATACTTGATATATTTAAAACAGGGAAGTAACATGGTTAGTTTGTTTTACTTTGGTGCTTCTCAAACTTTAATGGGCACACAAACTACCTAGGGATCTTGTCAGAATGAAACTTCTGATTCAGTAGGTCTGAGACTCTGTTTGTAACAGGTTTCAAAGTGTTATGAAAGCTGCTGATCTGAGGACCACCCTTTCAAGTAGCAAAGGTTTTAGAAAAGCTAGTCTGAGGCTTCAAGCAGGTGTATTTGGAAAACAACAGGCCTGGAGGCAGGTTCTGAAGAACTTAGGAAGGTGTTCCAGTGATCCAGGAAGCTGTAGAGAGGCTGGGATACAGGCAGTAACAGAAAGGAGGGATGAACTCCATAAAGACAGGAGGCAAAACTGGCAGAATCTGGGAAGTGACTGGACAAGGTGGGGTGGTTGTGGATAAAGGAAAGGTCAAGGATGACTCCTAGCACCCTAGTTCTGAAGACTTTGTTACTTCTTTTCATCATACGGTCAACCCTGGGATCTATAGCCCATTGAAGGATGAGGTCAGAGGGGAAGAAGAAGAAAAAAAAACTCTTAGTAAAAAAAAAAGTGTTACAGGTTTGAGATAAAATTTCCCCCAACCATACACTGGTTCTTAAAATATTTGTTCACCCAGTGTGTCAGTATAACCTAGAATGGACTGTTCTCCTCTTCTCAATTGTTTCTTTCCTTCTTCCTTTTTTGAGACAGGGACTCACTCTGTTGCTCGGGCTGGAGTGCAGTGGCATCAGCCTAGCTCACAGCAACCTTAAACTCATGGGCTCAAGCGATCCTCCTGCCTCAGTCTCCTGAGTATCTGAGACTACAGGCATGCGCCACCATGTCTGGCTAATTTTTTTTATTTTTAGTAGAGACAGGGTCTCACTCTTGCTCAGGCTGGTCTCGACCTCCTGAGCTCAAGAGATCCTCTCACCTCAGCCTCCCAGAGTGCTAGGATTACAGGCATGATTCTTCCCCTTTCTTTATTGCTGAGCAATCTATTGGAGTCCCAGTAAAATGGGATCTGATATTGGGGCTCACTGCTTTAATTATCTGACTGCTAGGATCCTTGGGTAAGCTCCTGCCACTTTCTGAGACTCAGGTCTGGGGTGGGGCTGGGGAGGGCACCCTGGGATAGCTAAGGTGGGGACCGAGTGGCCTGGATACTTGGGTTTAGACCTGCCTGCCTTCATGTTTTGTGATGGAGCCAGCAGCCACACAGCGTGATCCAGAGACGCCTGGTGGAGGGAAACCAGAGTCGGGTTCAGGGGGAGTCTCCCCTGGTGCAGGCCCTGACTCATGGCCAGGAAAGCAGGAAGACCAGCAGGGCAGAGATCCCAGCTCTTCTGGTCAACTGCAAGGTAAGAAGACTCCTAGGCAGTGACTTTCATCAACAACCCTTCCTGCAGCTGGCTCTTTTCTGTCCTGACTTGTAAGGGAGGGAGGAAGAAGAAAAGGCACCATCCCCATAGCCTGGACCTAAACATGGGGACCTCTATCTTCTTTCCTCCCTGCCTCGCCCCATCTTCCATCTGTGCAGTTCCATATGTCACCATCGTTACTCTACCCCCTTTCCTTGATCAAAGTATAATATTTAAATGTGAATACCTAAATACTCTTCAGTGTGCTCTACATATACAAATGGTGTGTGCATGTATGTATAATGCAACTCTCCTGGAATAAGCTTGTGCGTGCCAAGGTGACAGCCTTGTCATCTCTGGAGCCATTTAGCTACCCAGTCCCTACTGAACCATTACCAGTAAATGCCCACTGGTCTTCTGCTGCCATCCATCTTGGTGCAGCATTTCGTCTGTCTAGATAGCTCTCTTCTTGCTTTCCAATCATTCTATGTCCACATTCTTCTATAATCTTTTAAGGCCCAGCTCAGATATTACCTCCACCTTGAAACCTTTTCTGATTTCCCCAGGCAGAAACAGCCTTTCCTCCCTCTCAACCTTTAGGCACTTTGCTCACATCCTCTTATAGACCTTAAAACTTCCTACCATATAGTAGTAACAACTTACCTCCATTAGACTCCTAAAGAACAGCATTCATTGATGTGCCTTCCAGTAATATATCTCATGCATAGTAGGTGTCCAGTAAATGTTTGGAATGAGGAAACTTGGGGTGTGTGTGTATCTTCACATGTACAACAAAATGTTCATATATAACCCAAAGAAACTGAACTTGTCTTTCTTGGTTTCCAGCAGTGGGCATCTTGGTGACTCACGTCTGAGTTTCCCAACAAGGGATCCCAGTCTCCTTCTCATCCCTCCTCTATTCCCAACCTGGAGTTCTCTAGCCAGGAGGCCCCAGCCTCCCAAGGATTCCTCTAAACAAACGTCTCCATTTCTGGCAAGATCTTTCCCAAACTTATGGACTCACCATGTATAGTTCCACTTCCTTGTTTGATTCCTTTATCTGAGAGTCAATTTTGCCTCACTCATAAGAGTCATACAAAAATCAGTTTTAAAGACCCAGCAGCCACACAGCATGATCCAGAGACGCCTATTTCACTTTCAGTTTATTTCACTCTATGAAAAACAGGGAAACAAACAAGCAAAGACTCTGTTTATCCCCTCTGCTCATTCTTAGAAGGGTACCATCCAAGGGCTGGGAAAGTTGAAGGACCCAACCCCGGCCCCTCCTCCTGGGCACTCACTGATCCACCACGATCCTTCTTCCTCAGTGCCAGGACCAGCTGCTCAGAGTGGCCGTGGACACAGGCACCCAGCACAATCAGATCTCTGCGGGCTGCCTCAGCCGCCTGGGGTAAGAGTGTGGCCCAAACACGTGTTTGGGGTGGGGGAGGGGTACACAACTCTGTGAATATACTAAACCCCACCGATTGGACACTCTAAAAGAGTGAATTTTAGGGTATATATTTCAATAAAGCTGTTATTTAAGAAAAGAACGGCTAGGAGATTTTGGCAGAGAAGATAAGGATTTGGCCCTGTGGAGGCACTAAAGGAGAACCCCAAGTATAGTAGATGGGGACATCAGCTGATTAACGGAAGTGTGTGAGCTGGTGGGGGCACTCGTGGCCATAACCTTTGCTTCTCAACCACAGGCTAGGGAAGAGGGTCCCAGAAGTCCCAGCTGGGGACCTGGCACCTGAGCCCACAACCCAGGTGGAGCAGCTGGAGCTCCAGCTAGGGCAGAAGACTGTGGCATGCTCGGCACAGGTGGTGGGTAAGTCCTCCCCTCCTTGAGGGCCCAGATTCTCACCTCTTCTACCTTTCTCTTCTGGGTGGGGCAGAGGCAGGGACTTTCAGCCATTGCCAGCACAAGGTGCCCTAGAGATGCTCTGGTTGTCCCCAGCTCTGTGCCGACATGCACAGAGCTGGGGCGTGGGGGACGTGGGGGCAGAGAAGGGGTGAGGGCTGAGAGGAGGGCAGCAGTGATTACTGGGCACCTTCAGCTTCTTCAGTTTTCAAATGGTTCCTGCAGATGTCGAGAGTCCTGAATTCTGTCTGGGGCTGCAGACCCTGCTCTCTCTCAAGGTAAGGCACCCACACTCGGAGCCTGACCCAAAGTGCTGGGAAAAAGGGAGAAGGTGTAGGTGTGGAAGCACAGACCAGGTTCTGAGAGACTTGGAGATGTGCAAATGTCTTCGCTTCCTTAGAGGTTCCTTAGTTACTCGTAAGTGAAAAATCTAGAGAGCCAAGCCCCTCCCCCCATGGGGTTCAGATATATGGGAATGGGGGCAGAGCAAAGAGCAGGTGGAAGCTGTGGTTAGTGGGGGTGACAAAAAAGAGTGGGCAGGGAGAGGCCGGGCGCGGTGGCTCACGCCTGTAATCCTAGCACTTTGGGAGGCCGAGGCGGGCAGATTGCTCAAGGTCAGGAGTTCGAAACCAGCCTGAGCGAGACCCCGTCTCTACCAAAAATAGAAATAAATTAATTGACCAACTAAAAATATATATACAAAAAATTAGCCGGGCATGGTGGCACATGCCTGTAGTCCCAGCTACTCGGGAGGCTGAGGCAGTAGGATCGCTTGAGCCCCGGAGATTGAGGTTGCTGTGAGCCAGGCTGACGCCACGGCACTCACTCTAGCCTGGGCAACAAAGTGAGACTCTGTCTCAAAAAAAAAAAAAAAAAAAAAAGAGTGGGCAGGGAGACAGGTGACCTGCTGAGGTGACCTCATGTTACTTGCCCCACACCCCACAGTGCTGCATCGACCTGGAACGTGGAGTGCTGCGGTTGAGGGCCCCATGCTCGGAGCTGCCCTTCCTGCCTTTCTACCAAGAGCCTGGCCAGTGACCACTGCCCCAGTCAGTCCCTGGGGAAAGACCTTGCCTTAGGGAAAGGGCCGGGTGGTGAAGGCGCTGCTAGAGCCAGGTGGCTGGGGACTAGTGTATCTGTCCCTTTTATTACCACCCTGACCCCTGTCCCATTTCCCTCAGCCTGCACATCCTTCTGCTTCTCAGCAGCTGTCCTGTCCCCTGGGAGTTTTCAGAGGGCCCCTGATTCCAGGGTTCCGGTGCCCCTGTTCTCTCATTCCCCTACTGAGGAGAGCACAGTCAGACCAGGACTGCAGAAAGGGTCCTAAGCAAAACGAGGTACCTTCTTGGTCCTCAGCATGGCAGGAATAGGCCTAAGCCAAAGGCTGCACTGACTGCTATTCTCGCCTGCCCCCCAAACTCTACTCAACTGCTTGCACCCCACATCTCTCCTCACCTTCTGGGGCCTATCATCTCTTGCAACTAGACTGGCACACCTCACCAGCCAGGTCCCTGGCCCTTCTGGTGCCACCACTCTGATTCTGTGCATGTCTGCTCACAGCAGGGAGATATAATATTAGAATAATTCAATACAGCAGAGAAGGTGAGTTAGTGAGGGAATGTCCAGCTCAGAAGGCTGACAGACTTTATTAGTTATCTTTTCAGGTGTTGCAATGCCTGATGCCAGCTTTTGTTTGATTTCCCTGTGCGAAGCCTTGGGTATACCTTTGATCCTGACAAGTATTAATCCTTCTCCATTCGCTTTCTGTACCCACCACACCCCTGACCTTTGGGGCTGTGTGTGGAAGAGCCCTGTAGAGAACTGCCCCTGTGTGGTGGAAAGGATGGCGGGCTTGTCAGCACTTGAGCTTAACCCATACAGTATTCTTTCTTAGTTCTACAACTAGCCAGCTCATTAAGCTTTCTTCCTGCCCCATATCTCTAGTCTCCTGGGCTTTAGCTTGCCTGGTCCTGGAATCAGTGGCTTTCCATCCCTCCGCCAGGCTCTGAGCCAAAGCAAGAAGACTGAGGCTCTTTTGATTCGAGAAGAATCCAAACCTTAAGAAGCCAGACCCCCGAGTGTCTTTCTGGCTGGTTTGAGCCTCTCAAATCATGGATTGGGGTAGACAAAGACAATGGTGTAACTGACCTGAACCAGGGACCTGTTCCCTTGGGCTGGGAACAGAATCTTGAGCTTGGAGTAGATTGGATTATAGAAGAAGCAGGGGCTGGGCAGTGGCTCACGCCTGTAATCCTAGCACTCTGGGAGGCCGAGGCGGGTGGATTGCTCAAGGTCAGGAGTTCAAAACCAGCCTGAGCGAGACCCCATCTCTACTAAAAAAAATAGAAACTAATTGACCAACTAAAAAATATATATACAAAAAATTAGCCGGGCATGGTGGCACATGCCTGTAGTCCCAGCTACTCGGGAGGCTGAGGCAGTAGGATCGCTTGAGCCCAGGAGATTGAGGTTGCTGTGAGCTAGGATGACGCCATGGCACTCACTCTAGCCTGAGCAACAAAGTGAGACTCTGTCTCAAAAAAAAAAAAAAGAAGAAGAAGAAGAAGAAGAAGCAGGATGCTGCCCCGTGATGCCTGGCCTTACCTTTCTCAGCAGCTCGCCTGCTCGCACAAGGAAAGGGAGGGGCTCGCTCATCATGTGTCCTGGCACCTGGTATCAAATCCCAAAGGGTTCGTTCCCTGTCCCTCACTGCCTTGCTCTACGAGCTCTGCTTGCCTGGGTCTCACTGTGTTCCTCTCCCTGTCTGCCTCCTGCTGCTTCTGTGACTGCAAACCCCAGGCCCAGTGGCAGGCCATCGACTCAGCTACTTCCCCATTGGAATAAACCCTTATTTCTCTACACTGACACTTGTCTCTAGTCTTCCTCCCTGACTATCAGGAGCTGAGTGATATCTCTGCCCTTATTCCCATACAGAGAGGAAATGAGAACTTGAGCCCCTCCCCAAGTGGACTCATCTGACTGGGGTCAGTATAATTGGGAGCAATGGCCTTCAAACTCCAGTGCCCACAGCTCACAATACACACAATACACTTCATAATGTACTCAGGACACACACATGCACACAATTATAACAAAATCATACCTACGCTGTGAGCCATGAGCTCTGTTATTTTCTATTTTACATTATTCTATCCTACTCTTTCAAAAATGCCAGCCACAACCTATCAGAGGATTGCAACCTACAATTTGCAAAACACTGATTTAGAGCACAGAAAACCATGAGCAGATGGAACATAAATGGCCCAAGATATAATTCTGAACCTACATTCGATTTTAAATGTCTATCGTCTCATAGACAATAATTCGTTTGGGGTGGGGGAAAGGGAGCAAGGCCTTTGAAGCCGTAGGATGCTTGAAGAACACAGCAACGTGAGAAAACATGGACCCAGCTGCTTTGGGAAATGGAGGAGAATCATCTCAGGGTTGCTAGGAAGGGGAGACAGACTAGACTGTCAAATATCCTGAAAGACCCCTCAAAACAAACAGTTTGCCATTCCTGTAAGAATTACCAGTGTAAATGGCTTGGAGTGGTGCTAGGAAGGATGGTGTGGAGGGTGGGGTGGAGCCCTAGTGCCACTGTCCCCTGGGCCCGAAGCCTGGTTTCCATAGCATGCTGTGGCCATGCAAAGATTCAAGCTCCCTCCTCATAAACAAGTCTCTGTTTTCTACACAATGAGAGTAGGGAGCTTGGGGGAGGAGGTGGCACATTCCAGATGATTTGGAACAAGGCCAGGGTCCCATGACCCTGCTGATGTGATAGGTGAGCTCCATGACGAAATGAACAGTCATTTTTTCACCAAAAAAGACCGCGGAATCTATAGTTTGCAGTCACCTTAGGGTTGCCACCATCTTTCATGCCCAGAGTGAAATCCTGCTCCTCTATAAAATATATTCCCCATCCTGCCAACACCATGGACACCTTTGGGGCTAGGGGCGGGGCTCAGAGGGGTGCTTCACCAGCTGTGAGGGCAGGTCCAGCTAAGTGGGATCCTGGAGGCTTGTAGGGGTGCGCTGTGTTGGCTGGGCCGGGTGGTAGAGGGTTTGGTGAAGTAGGGCACGCGTTGCAGGGAGGTCCTCAGGATCTGCAGGGCAGAAGGATCAGGTAAGAGGTTGCAGGTCTCCTGGGCACCCAAGCCCTGGCTTTCCTGGTACTCACCCACGCCCAGCTCCTGCAGCAGGCTGCGGTACTCCGGCTCAGCCTCCAGCAGCTTCAGCAGGTTGGTGGACTCCATCCGCTCCAGCTGCACCTCCCAGTACACGTAGATCTTCTGGTTGAACGTGACGTACACAAGGCAGGGGCTGTTGCGGCCCTCTTTGCAGGCATACAGGCCTGGAAGATGTGGGCAGTGAGACAAAGGCCAAGAAGTTCTAGTCCCCATTGTGGGCAATCAGAGAACAAGACACAGACCTCAGAGTCAGTACTTTTGAGCCCCCCACTGCCATGAGGCAAAGAAAGGCCCTCTTTCTATTTCTTCCTTTGTTGGGAACCCAGTAAAATACGTAAGACATGAAAATATCTGTCCCATTCCAGATATGGAAAAAGCACCGTAACAAAAACCAGGCAGGGGCTGGGCAAGGTGGCTCACACCTGTAATCCTAGCACTCTGGGAGGCTGAGGCAGGCGGATTGCTAGAGGTCAGGAGTTCAAAACCAGCCTGAGCAACATAGCAAGACCACTGTCTCTACTGAAAATAAAAGGAAATTAATCAGCCAACTAAAAATATATAGAAAAATGTAGCCAGGCATGGAAGCACATGCCTGTAGTCCCAGCTACTTGGGAGGCTGAGGCAGAAGGATTGCTTGAGCCCAGGTGTTTGAGGTTGCTGTGAGCTAGGCTGACGCCACGGCTCTCTAGCCCAGGCAACAGAGTGAGACTCTGTCTCAAAAAAAAAAAAAAGAAAGAAAGAAAGAAAAACCAGGCAGGGAGGAGGGGATAGGTATATACACACCAATGAGTGCAGTGTGCACTGTCTGGGGGATGGACACGCTTGACTTGGGCAGAGCAAAGGCAATATATGTAACCTAAACATTTGTACCCAAACAATATGCTGAAATTTTTAAAAAATGGCAAAAAAAACACCCCAAAACAACTAGGCAGAACGGCATCCAAAAAGGTGATATTTGTTGATTTTACCATCTTAGTGAAATCCCTGGAGTAACGAGGGACAGCCTTGCTAGTCCAAGGGTGAGAGTAACAGTGTCATTGGAAAGGAAGCCTTCTCTGAGGTGTTGCTCTCTTCTTCCAAGGAATATGGTCACCAGAGTGTGCACTCCAGAGCACCACTTGTTCTTCTCATTTTTAGTAACCAGACACATTCCCTAGTCACCCAAGGAGTTGGTGCTGCCTTCCAAGGTCCCCGATTTAGAACTAATGAAAATGCTCTGGGAGAATTTTCTTCAGAGAGTTCTGGCATGCTCAGATGGAAAGGAACTTCCTGATGTCTTCACACATCCCAGACATATATGACAATAACTCATTCCATCCTTTAAAATATTCAGAGATGGAGAACTCACTACTTTTTATTTCTTCTTATTTAAAACTGTCAAGACAGCAATGTAGCACCCGCCTGTCACCCTCAAAGGAAAGAGCTGAGGAACCCATGAGTTCATGAAAACTTGTATTTGGGATCCGTCAAGTAGAATTGAGAGGCAAATATTTATCTAACGTGCTAACACATTTATCCAACTTAAGTGTGTGAGAGAGGGGGCCTGGGGCAGAGGTCCCACCTGCACAAAAGGCACGGATATTTTCATCCACTTGGAAGCGGACGACAGTGCGGTTGTGATCGATAATATACGTCTGTCCATCCCAGGCACAGGCAACTACCTCCTCGTGCCCATTGCCCTGAAAAAGAAAGGCCAGAGACAATACTGCAGGAGTGGCAAGAAGTCGCTATAGAAAGAGATTTGATGACAGAAGCTGGAAGAATATAAGGGAGCTATGTACTTGACTCTGACTGACAAACTACAAGCTGGAGAAGAACTTTTCCCACATGGTCAGCACAAAAGGGGGCTGTCAAATGAGACACTGTGCATAATGCTCACAATGACCCCAGGAAGTTGGCGTTATCATTCCCAATTCCATCCAGCGTACAGACATAAAGTCACTCACCCAAGGACCCTCAGCCAGGAGGCAACAGAGTAAGGACTCAAACCCAGCCCATTCTACCTGCCTTCAAAACCTCATGCCTCTTCTCCTAAAGTATCAAGCATGTATCGTGGCAATAAAAAGTGTAGTGCCCACCTGCTGATTCATAAGCCACAGTGCGATTAAACAGGCATACTGTTTTCTTTTTCACATATGGAAAAGAAAAAACTTTGAAGTATACATGTGGAGTTGGGACTAATAACTCACTTTTATTTATTTTATTTTATTTTATTTATTTTATTTTTTTTGAGACAGAGTCTCACTTGTTGCCCAGGCTACAGTGAGTGCCATGGCGTCAGCCTAGCTCACAGCAACCTCAAACTCCTGGGCTCAAGCAATCCTGCTGCCTCAGCCTCCCGACTAGCTGGGACTACAGGCATGCGCCACCTATGCCCGGCTAGTTTTATATATATATATATATTAGTGGCCAATTAATTCTTTTATTTATAGTAGAGACGGGTCTGCTCTTGCTCAGACTGGTTTCGAACTCCTGACCTCGAGCAATCCGCCCGCCTCAGCCTCCCATATTTTATTTTATTTTTGAGACAGAGTCTTGCTTTGTTGCCCAGGCTACAGTGAGTGCCATGGCGTCAGCCTAGCTCACAGCAACCTCAAACTCCTGGGCTCAAGCAATCCTGCCGCCTCAGCCTCTCGAGTAGCTGGGACTACAGGCATGTGCCACCATGCCCTGCTAATTTTTTCTATATATATTAGTTGGCCAATTAATTTCTTTCTATTTTATAGTAGAGACCGGGTCTCACTCTTGCTCAGGCTGGTTTCGAACTCCTGACCTCGAGCAATCCGCCTGTCTCAGCCTCCCAGAGTGCTAGGATTACAGGTGTGAGCTACCGTGCCCGGCCAATAACTTACTTTTAGACTCTAATAGTAACTCATTTTTCTTTGGAGCTATTACTTCTACCAAAAGGTACAGCAATGATAGATTTTCCATCAGCACAGTATAGTGTTAAATACTGCAAAGAGGAAACAAATTCATGTCAGATGGATTTAGACCATCTGAATTTGTTTCCTCTTACTCTGTATCTCTAAAGAGATGTAAGATAAAGGTTGGCAGTTAACTGGGAAGTGAGAATGGCCTGATTATTTTAAATCTCATCTCGTCCTGTGAAGAAGGCAAAAGCGCTCTGCTGCACTAGGTCCCCACTCACCGTGACATCTAATTTCTCCAGGGCGAAAAGCTGGTGATCCACCTGCACTGACCAGAGCAGCTTGTCTGCCTCCTCCATGAGCTTCAGTGTCCCTGTGGGGCAGACGCAGGCTGGGGGTGGGTGGCACAGGCCCAAGCAGACCCCACAGGCATAAAACCCCCCACCCCATCCCAGCATTACTCACCATCCAGGGTGCACAGGGCAAAAAGGCCAGAGCCACCACTCTCAGAGCCGTGGCCTATGGGTAGGACGAAAGGCCCAGAAGAAAGTGTGAAGGGCAGGGCAAGATCAGAGTGATGGGAAGAGGGGCAGCCAAGAGCAGGGTGAGAAGGATGAGACCAGACATGAGGGAAGGGCCTGGCTCTCCTCTTGCCCAGAGCTGATGCTGCCCCCCAGCCCCCTCCCTCAGTCCCACCCCACCTTCACCTTGTTTGATGTTGCCAATCAGGTGAGTGGAGACATTCTTGTTGTGGATACGGCCAGATGTCTGGTGCAGCACCACATCTCGGGCAGCTGGTGTCTCCCTGTGGGCAGGAGGGTAGGTGGGCCAATCTTGAGGCCCAGTGAGCTGAGTTCTCCAGGCTCTTTGTGGCTGCTATCCTTGCAAGAGCTTTCAGGATTTGAATCTGCTTGGAACCTACTGCTGACCACCTCTGGCCCATGGGCAAATAGAATAAGAGAGGGATGGGGCTGCCAGGTTGGAATCTCAGAACCTCTTTCAGGTGCTGTAAGGTTAAAGGCCAGGAATCCCTGGGTCCCAGAATAATCTTCCTTAATGGGGCAGAGATGCTTGGGCTGGGATCTAGATGCGGCAGTCTTTCAACTGCAGACCCATCTCACTACCATGTGCCACCTGGGAGCCCATCTTGCTTCCATGTAACCCTAGAGGCCTGTACGCCCTTACCTACTACCCTCTGTGGCCCCCTCAGAGGAAGGAGGGGACTTAATATCCTTGTTCCAGGAACACAGTAGAATTGCGTAAGCACAGCCTGGCTGAGATACCATCAGTTCAGGAACACCCAGAGGCCCTGGAGTCACCGAGAGACTGTCCACCTGCACCAGGAAACCAGGGCTTAGAGGGGGATGGAGAGACAAGGAAGTAGGACTCTGCAGAGAACAGGGCAGAAGTGGAACAGGGGTTCTGGGAACAGGCCTCCAGGCTTCAAGGGTAGCAGTAGGATTCTTGAGCTCACAGGGCTCCTGGCTGGTGCTGTCCTCTCCACATGACCATCTGCTTTCCCCTGCGCATGCTCAGCTAGGGCCCAGATCCACACCCACCTTCACACTCCTCATTCGTAGCCCAGCGTCCTTCCTCTTTGCCTGTTGCTATGATTTCCTAAGACCCTGGTTGGAAATGATCTCTTTGGATCTCTCTCAACAAGGTGACCTTCTCTGCCTCCCACCCTGGCCCTGGCCCATGACTGTTCTCCCAAAGGCTCCTCCAGGAAGCCTTCCTCCCAGCTCCTTGGGCGCCTGGGACCCCACATGCAGCCACTCACCTGACCCTCCAGCATCCATTTCTTGAGGGACACCAACTGCCCTGTCAGGTGTTCAGGGCCCTCACCTAGCTCCTCCCAGCGGAAAGCCCGCACCACACGGTCTGTGTAGCCCACCACCAGCTCGCAAAACCCATCTCCATCTGTGGGCACAGAGAATAAGACGGCTTTGGAGTCCCACATGCAGCCCCCACTGGCACTTTCTAGCCTGTGTAGCTTCATGCCCAACCTGCTGTGCTCTGCTCACCTCATACACCGCGTCAGCTACCTGCCCCTGCCTTTGCTTGTGCTTGGAGCATGCCAGGTGGCACCTATTCCGCGGTGCCTATTCCGCGGCTTCCATCTGTCCTCTGCCTTCAGACACACAACTCCACTGTGCTGAGTCACCCTGTGGACCTCTTCCCACCTGCAAGCTCCCTGTCTGCCTTGCCCATCCTCTTGCCACCTTCAGTTTTTTACAGAATAGCACCTGCTCAGCAAGGACTTCCCTGACAACTCCATTTGAAACCGCTACCTCTACCCCAGCACTCTCTAGCCCTTTCCATGATTTATTTTCTCCACAGCACTTATTACCTTCTGACATGCTATTTAATTTTCTTCAAAATTGATATTGTTTCTTTCCTGTCTCCTCTTAGTAAGGTCCAAGGGCAGCGATTTTTGTCTGTTTTATTCACTATAGCAATCGCAGTCCCTAGTGATGCCTGGCTTATAATGGGAGCTCAGTAACTCCACATTAAACACATGACAAGTACACAAATGAATGTGAATTCTCCCTCTCACCCCAGCCCTCAGGATGTGCCCTAGTGCCCGCTGACTCCGACTATCCTGGTCGCCTGCAAAGGTAGCCATGCCCACCGATGTCGCTGATCAGCATGACCTTGGTGTTGGCAGGGATGTGCTGCTTGAAGACTGGACGGTGCTCCTCCCCCATTAGTGTCTCATGGTGTCCAGAAGCATCCAGGACCTTGGCAGGTGTCAGGTCAAACAAGTGAAACCAGCCTTCAGCACTCACTGCCACCAACAGGTTCTGGGAGAGACAGAGGTGGACTGGGGAGGGTATAATCCTGATAATTACATCACAAAGTTCAAACCTCAATTGATTTCCACTTGGAGGTGGGGACCAACGTAAGGCCTCGGGGTTCTACCAAAGTCCCAAGGTCCCCTAGAGTTCTTACCTTTCCTTTATTACATACATCTCCAACCCCAACGCAGGTCAGCTGTAAGAGAGAAAGTGAGGCTCAGGGAAACACGGAGGAAGACTGGTACTCCCTGATCCCTGCGATGTGACAAGGGGTGGGTTTTCTAATTGCCATCATTCACTGAAAACTTGTGCATGTGACCTCCATTGGTGGTCATTATTAATTCAGTTACTGTGCTATAGGTTCAGTTTACCCATATAGCAATATGAAGCCCCAAGGCAGTTAGGATAATTTGAGCTTAAAACAAAACAAAAACCCAAGATCTAATATAGCTAGACTATCATATTTCCAGGCTTACTCAAACTATTGGCCCCATTTTTGACTATAATTTGTAAGATCAGACAAGCATAGGAAACTTCCACCAAGTAGTACCAAGGGATATTTTGCAACAGAGAAAACATCAGGCTTGTGTTCGTGTATGTGGGGAGACAGATGGCAGTGCTGCCTGGGGGCTGCCCTTCCCAAATCAAATTAGCCAGGAAGCAGTGGCTGGTTGAGTAGCTGGGGAGGCAGGACACACCAGTGAGCTCCTGTGTGGGGCTCACCCTTGGCAGAACCTAGACAGAAGAGACTTCTTCCCTCAAGGGCCAGGGAGGTGAATACTGACCATTCCCTGGCAGGAACAGGTAAGCCATGGCCGGCTATCATCATTCTTATACACAGACAGCTTCCCGCTGGTGTCTCCCACCACAAGTTCATTTAACTTCAAACAGAGAGAGAAGACAGTGTTAAGATGGGGGTCCTGTTGAACCACTGCCACCTCTTTTCTACTTGGCCTAACCTGGAAAAATCACAAGACCTCAACTTGTATCTTTATCAACTTTATTAAAAAATGTTTGATACCAACATAGCCATAGTTTCTCAGAAGCTCTTTATGTCCATTTAGGGGTGGGTGTGTGCATCGGAGGCAGGAGAGGTTGGAAGGATGGGGGCTACACAGAATCTATGATACATCTCAGGAAAGTCTGACATCTGAGCAGTTCTGTGCCCCACATGCCTGACGTCAGCTCTTCTAATTTGATCATTACAAATGGACATGTTTTGAAAACAGTCCAAGACAGTGGACTTTTGGAAACTCTAACTTCAGACTTTGTATTTATTTAGGGTCCAAATACCAGCTCTTGGGGCCCTCCTTCCTCTAGCCAGGCCTTTGCATCTTGTGTGCTTGTGGGCACACACAGGGGATGGTGGGGCCTGAGAAGGGGTTGCTCCGCACTCTGGGCCTCTAGTGCCCCCAGGCGGTGGCTAAGGTCTCAGGAGGGAGACTCCCTGAATAAAGCCCTTTCTCCACCATTTGTGTCTGGGTAGCTGCCCTTTTCAGGGGCTAAGGATGACAACCAGGTGGCTTCAAACCCTATTTCTGCAAACAGCTTCCTGATTTTCTCTTGGAAGTACAGCCAACCTCCCATTCTGGCCCCCAAAATAGAGTGAACTAATATTAGATTCTCAAGACATTTAATTCTAAAGGAAACAAAGCGATAACAGATCAATAGTAAGGGAGCATTACAAACAAATTGTGATTTATTAATAATGATTTATTTGAATCTTTGATTTTTTAATAGCGGAGTTTCTGGTGAGAATATTAGATTATAGAAGCATAGAACAATTCGGGCACGGTGGCTCATGCCTGTAATCCTAGCACTCTGGCTCAAGATCTGGAGTTTGAAACCAGCCTGAGCAAGAGCGAGACCCTGTCTCTACTAAAAATAGAAACAAATTAATTGGCCAACTAAAATACATAGAAAAAATTAGCCGGGCATGGTGGCACATGCCTGTAGTCCCAGCTACTCAGGAGGCTGAGGTAGAAAGATCGCTTGAGCCCAGGAGTTTGAGGTTGCTGTGAGCTAGGCTGACGCCACAGCACTCTAGCCCAGGCAACAGAGTAAGACCTGTCTAAAAAAAAAAGCATAGAACAAGTTTATTCACATCAAACCCTCTACACCTGGTGTCTCAATTGTGGCACCCGAAAGAACTTCTGCAGACACCCACGGGAGAGGCTGCATGGTGTAGAGGTTCAGAATGCAACTGCCTGGATTTGAATCCAGCTCTCTCTGCCTAAATTTTTTCATCTATAAAATGAGAATGATGAGAATATCTACCTCAGAAGGTGGTTGTGAGAATCGAGTTGATGGAGGAAAGCATTTACAGCGGTAATTGGCATATAGGACTAATACCAGCTGATTTTTTAGCCTCTAGTTAAACTCCTCCAAGGCTGGGGAACTTAGCAACTTTCATACAATTCAATTTTTTTTAATACATTCATTTAGTGAATGCCATAGTAGGCCCAAGATAAATGTTTGGTTAATGAACAAATAACAAAAAAGATTTTTCTAAGAAATAAAAGTCAGAATGAAAGAGAACTTCCAGGCAGCCCAGGAGTTTTCAGGTAAAACTGGACAATCAGTTGGTGGTATAAAGAGAAATGCCACAGGTTCCCTGCTAAGAAGAACCTTACACTTTAACAGGTGCACAGACACAGGAATAAAACCATTAAACAGTGTACAAGTGCAGTGAGCAGGTAGGTGGGCACAGCCAGGCCGAAGGTGAGGTGGCAGCAGGCCTCCTGGAAGAGGACATTTCCAAGGCAGCCCACTTGCTTCCCACCAGTTCTAATTCTCTGTGGCTGAGCGTGGCTTTGGTCTGTGGAGGTCATTTGGTGACACTAAAAAACCCCAGCTGAAGAGTACACCATCAGTCAGAAATGCTACAGGAGAGAGGAGGTGAGATGTTTTCATGATCTGCTTCAGCCTTCCATAGGCTTTCTCTTCCCAGATGTAGCCAGGTTTCAGTAGGCAGGCCTAGAGCATGTGTATCTTATTTCTGGCTTCCTCTCTGAGTTAGTGGGAAATATTAATAAATCAGTTTCAAAGAAGTTTAAGCGAAGAGTTTATTAGGCTGAAATCAGTGTTTTTCCTGTTCCCAAATCTCCAAATGTTGGCTTTGGAACTGCTAACAAAATTTCTATCCATACTCATGTGGACCAAGTATATCACACTTGATCACTCACCAACTATCACACTTGCCCTTCTTTCAATTATATTTACTAATAATAGGCAAAGCTTTGAAACACATTTGCTTGGTGTTTTTTTTTTTTTGAGACAGAGTCTCACTCTTCTGCCCGGGCTAGAGTGCCGTGGTGTCAGCCTAGCTCACAGCAACCTCAATCTCCTGGGCTTAAGCGATCCTACTGCCTCAGCCTCCCGAGTAGCTGGGACTACAGGTATGCGCCACCATGCCGGGCTAATCTTTTCTATATATTTTTAGTTGGCCAATTAATTTATTTCTATTTTTAGTAGAGACACTTTCTCACTCTTGCTCAGGCTGGTCTCGAACTCCTGACCTCGAGCGATCTGCCCACCTTGGCCTCCCAGAGTGCTAGGATTACAGGCATGAGCCACCGCTCCCGGCCAAATTTTTAATTTTTTGTAGAGATGGGGTCTTGTATGTTGCCAAAGCTATCTCAAATTCCCGGACTCCTGCCTTAGCCTCCCAAAGTGCTAGGATTACAGGTATGAACCACCACACCCAGCTGTATTTTTCTCTTTTAACTGAAGAGGGCAATCAGATAAAATAGAAAATAATGCACATCTAAAGTCACTTTGTTAATTTACTGTTTAAAAATGCCTCCCTTGGTTTTCTAATAAAATTGTACTACTTGGCATATGAATAAATGTGAAAGCCCAGAAAACATAATATAAATTTACAAGAATAACTCTTACCTCCCTAGAGGAAGTAGAGCCAAAAGAGGCCTCATAAAATACCTTCTCCACCACAGCATTAGGGAGAGTGGGAAATGAGGATGCTTTAGCCCTTATATTGGGGGGTGGGGTGCATAGAACAGTTGAAGAGGAGAGGATGAAAAGTATGGGAGGCAGAGTAGAGAAATATGGCAGAGGCCAGGAGAGCAATATGGTGCTTTGCATTAAAAACTATGAAATGGATAATGAATGAAAGATAAAGTCTGGAAAAAAGAGCATTTGACACCATCTCCTTTAATGGTCCACCAGAGAGTCCTCTACCCATTTTAATCAACGCACCTCATTATATTTTGTCATTCTTGTGACTATCACCCACCTGACCATTTTTTAATTCCCAGAATGTAGCAAGAGTCCTGGGCACATAATGAGCAGTTCAATAGATTCTAAAAATGGAATCAAATACTAATAACGACAGTGCTAACACTTACTGAGCATTAACTGTGTGCCAGGCATTGTTTTACCTCGTTGATCTGTATTAACTTATTTAAACAACGAGATAAGGAACGACTGCTAGGGAAATAAAAGGTAGGTGGACTTTGTTTTTGTAATTCAACAAAGGTGTATGTAGCACTTTGAAGTTGCCAGACACCTGCATCTACTACGGAGCAGGCACTGTAGAAACCTGACATTATTATTTTTTTTTTTTTTGAGACAGAGTCTCACTTTGTTGTCCAGGCTAGAGTGAGTGCCGTGGCGTCAGCCTAGCTCACAGCAACCTCAAACTCCTGGGCTCGAGTGATCCTTCTGCCTCAGCCTCCCGAGTAGCTGGGACTACAGGCATGTGCCACTATGCCCGGCTAATTTTGTTTTTATATATATATATCAGTTGGCCAATTAATTTCTTTCTGTTTATAGTAGAGACGGGGTCTCGCTCTTGCTCAGGCTGGTTTTGAACTCCTGACCTTGAGCAATCCGCCCGCCTCGGCCTCCCAAGAGCTAGGATTACAGGCGTGAGCCACCGTGCCCGGCCTGAAACCTGACATTATTAAGACTGGGATGGCGGGGTGGAGGGTGGCCCCAGCCAGAATACGGGAGGCCACGGCGGGAGCCGCCAGGGAAATACACCAACCTACTCCCGCGCACCGGACCCAGTTTGCGCGCAGCACAGGTGCGTTTTCAGCCGTGTTAAGCACGGAGGGAGTGTCTAAATCCGTGACAGTAGGAATAGGGTCAAAGAAGTCTTCGGAGGAGCGGAGCCATCGGCACAGCGGTATCATTATTTCCAATTTACGACTGAAAAAAAAATTGTTTTCGAAAGGTAAAGTGATTTAAGAAGCGAAGCCACTGAAGGCGGCTAAACTCAGAGCAGTAATCCAGGAAACTTGGCAACTAGAGCTTACCAGGCTCCCACAGTGAACACGTTACTGGATTAGGCAGAGGGACCTACTATCTGTAACGCTAAAAAAAAATACTTCAAGGATACCAGACCAAGTAGTCCGGTGACTACGAGCGGACACTGAAGCCATCAGCGAAGCTTTCCTCTCAGCCCTCCACATTGGCGCCAGTGCGCATGCGCCCTGCTCACGCGGCCGCTTGGGGGGCTTCCGGCCCAGGCTCGCCCCGCCCCAGCCCGGCCTGCGCAGGTCGAGGCTGCGTCTCTCCCAGTGCGCATGCACTCACCGTGTCGTTGTCTACGTCCCCGAGGCAGATTGCGTGCGGGAAGAGGCTCCCGCTAAACTCCAGCGCCACGCGCTGCACGTAGCTAACCGATCTCATGGCACTTCCAAAGGCGGAGGGATCGGGGACGCTACTCGATGTTCCCCGAACCCCCTCCCGAGCCGCCGGAGCGGAAGGCCACCTAAAGCGGAAAGTTACGTCACCGCCTGAACCTTCCTAGCATAACCTTAGAGAGGAGGCGGGTCTTCCGAGGCTAGAGGCGGGCTTACCCCAAGACTAATGTGACTGACAGCGCCACGGGCCAGTCCTTTTCGCTAGAGGGATAGAGCTCAAGGGTAGACCAACCCTGAAGTGACCGATCTGTTGCCTTGGCAACAGGGCTCTCAGGGCTTGACCTGATAACCTTGACCCGTTCCTTTGTTGTCCTGGCGATGAAGATTCCTCGCCTTCAGACTGTCCATGAGTCATATTAATTATTGCAATAACTGATAATTGTATGGTTTCCAACAGTGTTTTTTAAATAAAAACTACATATTAGGAGTCATGAAAATAATGTGAATTGCAACAGCATTAAAAAAAATTAAATAGGCCGGGCGCGGTGGCTCACGCCTGTAATCTAACACTCTGGGAGGCCGAGACAGGCGCATTGCTCGAGGTCAGGAGTTTGAAACCAGCCTGAGTAAGAGCGAGACCCCGTCTCTACTATAATTGAAAGAAATTAATTGGCCAACTAATATATATACAAAAAATTAGCCGGGCATGGTGGCGCATGCCTGTAGTCCCAGCTACTTGGGAGGCTGAGGCAGCAGGATTGCTTGAGCCCAGGAGTTTGAGGTTGCTGTGAGCTAGGCTGATGCCATGGCACTCACTCTAGCCAGGGCAACAAAGCGAGACTCTGTCTCAAAAAAAAAAAAAAAAAAGTCTACCTCTAAAGTTAAGTAGTTTTGAATTATGTTTTTATTTCTTTGCTTTCTCTTTTTTCAGCTCTCTGAATGAAATTGTAAGACAAATAAATAACTCAGGACTAAATAGATGAGGATCACCCTGCTTTTGTCACCAAGTGCCCTGGCCTGACCCAGTTCTCTAAAATCATACCCACACCTAGCACTCCATCCTTATTGTTTGGGCTTCTTGTTCTGGATCTTTCTGTGCCAGAGGGTGCTTTTATGTGGAGTATGTTTGCCGTGGAGGTCATGCCATTATGATCACAACTTCTATACTATTCCTTTAGGCTTTTGTCAAGAGAGTCTAAAAGAAAGTTAGAAAGTAGATAGATCTCTAAAAAACAGCACACAAATCATATCTTTCTTTCTTCCTTTTTTTTTTTTTTTTTTTTGAGACAGAGTCTCGCTTTGTTGCCCAGGCTAGAGTGAGTGCCATAGCGTCAGCCTAGCTCACAGCAACCTTAAACTCTGGGGCCCCCCCGCGGAGTCAAGCGATCCTACTGTCTCAGCTCCCGAGTAGCTGGGACTACAGGCATGTGCCACCATGCCCGCTAATTTTTTATATATTTTTAGTTGGCCAATTAATTTCTTTCTATTTATAGTAGAGACGGGGTCTTGCTCTTGCTCAGGCTGGTTTCGAACTCCTGACCTCGAGCAATCTCCCTGCCTCAGCCTCCCAGAGTGCTAGGAATACAGGCATGAGCCACTGCGCCCGGCCACAAATCATATCTTTCCATTCCTATGCCTGACATTCACAGTAAGTAAAAGGCATGACAAGGCATGACTAGGCATTACAGAGCCATGTGGAGAGATTCCTGGCTCCACAAGAAGTACTCCTACTCTTGGCCCTTTCTAGTGGGATGGCTGGTGAGTCTCTACTGGCACCATTTAGACTCCATCTTGGCTAAGCTGAGCACTCTTTCAGCTAGTTTTTGGCTTATGCCCCAGAACTGTCCAACCAGGCTACCTTCCTGCTTAGGTGACATCGATATGGTTGTGTGGGTGGCATATTCTTTACAAACCAGACAAACAATAGCTTCAGTAGAAGCTTCATGGCAGGGGATTGGTGGGGGGGGTGGGAGGTGGTTAAACTGATTCTTTCCACTTCATCCTCCAACAGTGGACAGAGTGCCCCTACCCCAGTTGTGTCTACCCACAATGCCCCGGTAAGATACGGGACCCTCAAAGCTCTTTCAGCACATGATGCCTAGAGCATCACCACTCAGGGGCAGGGCCCAGGCCTTCCTAATGGGCTCAGTTTGACTTATATCACCATTCCCCTTCCCTCTCTCATTCCCAGTACATCTTAGAATATTAGTTTATTAAAAGTCATGAAGTACAGAAACCTGTTTCTCAAACTTACTTGACCTAGAAATTGGGCAGAACAAGTGTGGGCAGCTCTGCTCTGAGTGAAATGCTGTTATTCAGAGGTCCACTTTGAGTCTCACCCCTGTCTATAAGGCTGGCCTGATCAGAAAGAACCTCCAACTCTGGAAAGCTTTGATCCTAGAACCTGTCAGGGTTGTCTGTTCAGGACTCTACAGAAGGATGAGAAGTTCTATCTGTCAAGCTTAAATGTGAGGAATTGGGCTTAAAACACAAAGGGTGAGGAAGGTGTTTTGGAACTACATAGAAATGGTGGTTGTACAACGTTGTGAGTAGACCAAATGACACTGAATTCTTCGCTTTAAATTGGTTCATCTTTTTTTTTTTTTTGAGACAAGTCTCGCTTTGTTGCCCAGGCTAGAGTGAGTGCCCTGATGTCAGCCTTGCTCACAGCAACCTCAAACTCCTGGGCTCAAGCAATCCAACTGCCTCAACCTCCCGAGTAGCTGGGACTACAGGCATGCACCACCATGCCTGGCTAATTTTCTCTATATATTAGTTGGCAATTAATTTCTTTCTATTTATAGTAGAGACGGGGTCTTGCTCTTGCTCAGGCTGGTTTTGAACTCCTGACCTTGAGTAATCCACCCACCTCGGCCTCCCAGAGTGCTAGGATTACAGACGTGAGCCACCAGCACCTGGCCTAAATTGGTTCATCTTTTAAAATTCTTTTCTACAGATGGGGTCTTGCTGTGTTTCCCAGGCTGGTCTTGAACTCCTGGCCTCAAGTGATCCTCCTGCCTCAGCCTCCCAAAGTGCTGGGATTACAGGTGTGAACCGCCATGTCCGGCCTGATTAATCTTGTTTTACCTAAAAATGTGAATTTTAAGCTGGGTACCTATAGTCCCAGCTACTTGGGAGGTTGAGACAGGAGGACTGCTTCAGCCCAGGAGTTTGAGGCTGCAGTGAACTATGATTGGGCCACAGCACTCCAGTCTGGGGTTGGCAAACACCTGGAGACAGAGCAAGACCCCACCTCCAAAACAATATTAAATTGTAATTTCACCTAAAAAAAAATACGAAAGGAGCCATTTTATGTCTGATGCACTTCAGAGTGGAATAGTGAAGATTCCAAGAAATGGAACATGCCTATCTTGGGGGAGAGGGTAGGGTATGGCCAATCTACTGCTCTAGCCAGAGGACCCAAGAAGTTCATGAAAGCATTGCTTTCTTGATCATCCCTCCTAAGAACCTTTCATTCTTTCTTTGCTTTTCGAACTGATATAATGATGTTTAGTACATGCTAAATTAATTGTGATTTCATAACTGGGGATAGTTAGTACATCCACATTATCGGGCGTTGGCAAGCAATCAGGGAACTATAGCCATAGGCAGCAATAACAACTTCCAGAAAGACAAGTTTTCCTTTCTTAGAATGTCTGTTGACTCTTACATTGGCTTTATTCAGTACTGCCCTTAGTTCATTGTCATTGCAACTTGAGTTATAATGTTCTGAGGTGCTCTGCATTTGGAAAGGGAAATTAGCCATCAAGACGTAAGAGAGGAAGGCATGAAATGTTCCACTGTTTATTTTCCAGTAAGGATTTTCTAAAAATGCACTACTTTTCACTAGTCCTGCCTAGAGTGTCTTTGACATATTTCTTGTCTAATTGAAATGGGATACACAATTCTCCAGCTTTTACTCTCAGGAGGTGTAGCTGGTGAAATGGAATACCAAGTGCACTGGAGTTCTTGGGGCAAGCCTGGTCAAGCCTTGCAGGGTTTTGTCCATGGATTCTGATGTTTAGCCTAAATGAGATGAGAAGCCACTGAAAGTAATTTAAGTAGTTGGATGGACAAGATTTGAATGCAGTGCAGAATGAACTGTAGGTAGGGCAGGGGAGAATGCAAGATAGGAGTCTTTTGTAGGATAGCAGGGTAGAGTGCATGGTGATGTTGGGGGGTTTGTCGGTACCATTGGGAGAAGAAAAAAACTTTAGGGTATTTAAACACCATTTTTTTTTAATAGACATTCTTCGCCGCTGCTTCTCGCGGCGCACTAAGGGCAAAACAGCAAATAACTTCTTTAACCGCTTTGCAAATCTGGCCAAGCCCGTTAACAGGCCACTGCGGTTTTCTACTCAGTTTTCTTATTCAAGTACATTCTCTACATATAAAGATTTTAAGTGTTGGTGGGGAAGGTGCAACTGATTGGGAAATGAACTTGAGCACTGACCCAGAGCAGACTTGAGTATGTCATAGGATTATTTTTAGCCATTTTAACAAAACATCCTACAAGATAGTTTTAGTGTTACATGAACCAAGATTTATTCATTTCTAGTGTTCTACAGAAGTCCAGATGAATTTTTTTTTTTGAGAGTCTCACTTTGTTGCCCAGGCTAGAGTGAGTGCTGTGGCGTCAGCCTAGCTCACAGCAACCTCAATCTCCTGGGCTCAGCAATCCTACTGCCTCAGCCTCCCGAGTAGCTGGGACTACAGGCATGCGCCACCATGCCCGGCTAATTTTTTCTATATATATTAGTTGGCCAATTAATTTCTTCTTATTTATAGTAGAGACGGGGTCTCGCTCTTGCTCAGGTTAGTTTCGAACTCCTGGACTCAAACAATCCACCCGCCTCGGCCTCCCAGAGAGCTAGGATTACAGGCGTGAGCCACCGTGCCCGGCCCAGATAAGTTTTAAATTCTTAGAATCCTACGGAAGCATTCAGATCTGGAAAAGACCTTAAGAGTGCCCTTTTTTTTTTTTTTAATATAAAGAGACAGGGTCTTGCTCTGTCAGCCAGGCTGGAGTGCAGTGGTATGATCATGGCACGCTAGTCTTGAACTCCTGGGTTTAAATGATCCACCTGCCTCAGCCTCTTGAGTAGCTAGGATTACATGTGTATACCACCACACCTGGCTAATTTTTTAAAAGTATTTTGTAGAGATAGGGTTTTGCTATGTTGCAGAGG